GTTGCTGCCTACTGCCGCCTCAGCTGCTGACTCTGCTGCCCGCTGCTGTCCTCTCAGCTGGAGAGACCTAGTCGCTGCTCCTGGGAGCTGCTGGTGGGAGGACCTTCTCCTGAGGGTGTGCTAGTTCTGCCTGCCCTCACTGCCAGGGATGTTTGGAAAACCCGTTCTCATCTGCTAATGTTTATTTAAATCCGGTTAAGATTGAGTTCCCATGTGTGTTTACCACGGCCTGTCCCTGTTGTTCACGCTGTGCACCATGCTCTGCTCTCTCAAAGATGCTATCTTGCCTCTGCCTCCAGCAGTTACACATGAAAACAAGGCACAGTCAGTTTAGAAACATATTCAAGGCTATTTAGAAAAAAGGAAATAAATCCAGTGTACAAGGCTGTGTGTTTATAGACTAAACTGCTCAAAGCATTTTAACAGATGGGATGCTTTAAAGTTTCCATGCTGGCCTTGTTGTCTGAATCAGCACAGCTTAGTGACTGTGGGCTGAAGATTCAGCTCGGCTCTGGCTGAAGCTGGTGGCAGCGAAATGGGAATGTGCCAGAGGACACGAGACTTGTGTCTGAAGTGAACGGTCGTGCTCTTGGCTAAACGTGAGTCCTGCACCTCAACATGAGTCACAGACCTTTGTCCAGGCATGAGCCATTGAGGGGAAGCCAGTTATTTTTAATATTGTGCTTGAAAATGTCATGCACAGACGATGACATTTTAAAGGCAATATTTACTACTGATAACATCAAAGTATCTCAGAAATGACAGGACTTGAAATAACTGGACAGAATTCTGCGTCATCTAAGTTTGTGTGCAAGTGCTTTTTCAGGTCACGGCTCAGCATCTTCTCAAGCGTTATGGCCAGGCAGATTTTGCAAAAATGCACGACCACCAGCCACCTTCCACGAAGGGCAAGGTGTGTGACCAAAAGTGCTCTGCTCTGGGAATTCCTAGCTGATGGCTGGTCTGGCCGGAATGAGCTGGGGTGGGTGGGCAGGCAAATCCCGGTTAGGGGATTCTCTGAAGGCCAGCCCAGCTGGGTCCCCATGTTTGCAAATCCATCACATTTGTGCTTTAGCAGACATAGTTCTGGACAAGGCAGCTAAATCCCGGAGCAGGTTCCAAGCCCGCTGGTGCAAACACTGGCACTGAGCGGTTGATGGGGTGAGCTGATGCCACAAGGAGGCCGTGCCAGCTATCGGGGCATGGCCGTGCGGAGAACAACGCTGCAATGCTTTGCTACAGCCTGGTGTGTTCTGTAATTTTAACACAGAAAAGGTCAAATTTTAAGCGTGAGGGAGGAAGAAATTGTGTTTATTCAGTTATGTCAGACTGATGGAAAACAGAGGGAGTGTAAGGAATATGCATCGTATTAAGTTAGCATGGTGAATTACTTAACGAACTAATCTATTTGAGCAGGTAGGCATGGACTGCAGAAGCCATACAGATAAAGCAGCAAACATACTTTTTCGTGGTCTATATTTGGAGCCAGAAGTTCTGGGCAGTGGCGGGGGGCAGTTGTGCCTTGGCTCCTTTTGAGTAGCGTGTGCTGTCTGTTGCTGAGATGGCAGCTCTCTTTGTGGGTTATGAGAAGTGGTTGACTTTTCTCTTAGTCATGATCCCCCTTGGTTTTCTGAGTGTGCTGTGAAATCAGGGCTGTTTGGTGAAACCAGGTATTGACAAACAAATGCTTGCATTGCAAAATTATAGCTCCTACTCCGCAGAAATATTTGCATGTGGCAGGAGCTCAACAGACTCTCAGTTTTCTTAAAGAACCCTTGTGAAACGACAGTGAAATTCTGCCTACAGCTGAAGACAGAAACCAAGGTTGTTTTTTCTCCCCTCTGAAAACCGCTGTGCTCCTTTGTGATCAGCCCTGACCTTGGCCTTCAAGCCATGCGCCAGGGCTGGAATCTCTGCCCGACGTCAGTGCTGCCCCAGTTGTGTCTGCCCGCACTGCGCTATCACCCTGCTTTGGGTTTCTGAGGCAGCGTGACACTTGCCATATATCCTGCACACTGCAGTCCTGTCCTCTGGAGCCCTCCAGAGCACACTGGCTGCTTAGTTTTGTTAGACCTTGATATTCGTGTGGCTCTGTGGGGTGGGTGCAATCAGCAGGTACCAACAGAGTAAAAACTTTCGCGCAGAGGAAAGCTTCTGAGCAGCCTGTGGGGAGCCTGATACTGAGCCACCCCTCCTGTGCCTTGCATGAGGGTGGAGGAGCTGCAAACGCTGCTGGTCACTGGGACCCCTGTGCGGGTGGATGGCTGGGGCTCTGCCCAGAAAGCTGCCAGTCCACATGCCCCTGCAGCCTCCGTAAGCCATCTTTTTGGCTCATTGCAGTGTTATTACCTACATATTTTGAGAACGCCTTTCAAAGGTCTCTGGGAAACTGTCAAATAGATTGTTAAGGGTGCTATTATCACAGCTCACTCTGAGTTGCCTGCGGTTTCAGTTATGTTTTTCTTACAATTTTCCCTCTAAAAATAAAAAATGCAAATTGGCATAATTTTAAAATCAAGGGTGATCTCGGGCAAATCCTTCCCTCTGTGGACAGCGGCTGCTGGTGGTGGCAGGGGCAGGAGTGAGCTGGAAATAGCGTTGGTGCTGCAGGGCTCCCCAGCTGCTGAAAACATCCGTCTCCCCACCGCCGGGGCTGCGTGCTGCCCCATGCTGAGCCCGAAGGCCGGAGTGTTACACCCGGCCAAGCCTGTCTCATGGCCAGGATTAACCTTGAGTGTCTGCCAGCTCCTTCCAATTTTCATCTGTCAGTGGGCAGCTGAGGGCGAGACTGGCCGAGCACACCAGGTTTGCAGGGAGAGCCTGCGTGCTCTGCTCAGCACCTGTCGTGGGTACGTATGGGCACATGTTTATCCACATGTGTAGGTACTCTAGTTACACACATGCACGAAGGTGTGTTTGTACTTGCACAACTCTTCTCATGGACAAACAGCTATTTAAAAAGCTGCTCAAGCCTTAATTGCTAACCTACTTTGCAGCTTTAAATAATTAAGCCTCAAAAATACTCCAAAGTCTTCTGGGAGTCCTGCTTCTACCATCACAACAGCTGCTACTTTTGCTCTTTTCCCATCTGCAATGCATAGTGCAAAGAACAGGAAAGCACAGGCTGGAAGGTAAATTAGCCCTTTTCAGATTTCTAGTTGCATAGAGAGGAAGAGAAAGGTGACGGGTCATTAGAGGAAAGGTCTGGTACTGCTGGAATCTAAAAAGTTGCTGGATAAATAAGACATTTTTAGCAATGCTTTTATGTCTGCTGCTGGTTATTTCTTAGCTGTATCTGTTCTACATTAGTCCCTCAAACTGAGTGCCAGGGCGGTGTAGCATGGGGCGCTTGTGCAGGGGTTGCATGAGGGGTGCGAGGGGGGTGCCCAGGGCCATGCTGGGGATGAGACAGTGGGATTGCACTGAGAGGACAGGTGAGGTGCTGGGGAGAGTGAGACAGGGAGATGTTTGTTGAATCAGGACTTAACTGTGGCAGATGCGTTGCATCCGACTGTATCTCCTCCACTTAATCATTAATTCAATAAAAGCTGTGGAAATTGAGATTATCAGGGAAGGACAGTTGAGTAGCATCTACGGATGAGTCACTCATTCTGATTCCTGCTAAGAAACCACTCAAAATGTTTCTTGCCTTAAGAACAAAGGATAAAATTGCTTCTCCAGTTATTAACCTACAATTTAGGTAGGATCTGCATAGCTCTCATGAGGAATAGAAGACAGCAGCACCGGGTGAGCTGTGGGCTGTGCCGGCCGGGGAGCGGTGGGAGGGCTGGAGGTGTGGAGCTCTGCCTCCTGAGCACCCCAGCACTGCTGCAGTCCTCTCATCATGCTTGACACCTGCTTGGGTTGTGCCAGGGCTGCAGGAGGCTCTTCGTGCTTTCCCAGCAGAACTTGGAAGAGGTTATGTCAAAACTGAGGGTTGGGGAAAGCAGCAACAGGCAATGGTGGACCCAGGTCTTCGTGGGAGTCCGTGCTCTGCCCATGCTAACAGCTGGTTTCCGTCCCCATCCTTCTTTCCATCACCCAGAGTGATGACCCAAAATGGGTCTGAGCTGGCGAGTGGAAAACATGAAGCACCATAATCCACACTGACCCACTTCCAGCATGTAGTCATCACTATTACATGGCAGACCCTGCAACTTTTTATTTGTGGCTCTGAGGTTTGTTTTCGCCCTTCAGTGGTTGGCAGCGCCATGCTCTGCCCATAGGGCCGTCCCAGGGCAGGGACCTCAGTGGCGTTACCCCAGTGTACCCCGTGTAACTGGGAGACACAGAGGCAGTGCCTTTGGTCACAGGATGTCTACTGGGACACGTTCACAGCAAATGCTTTATGTTTTCACCAGAGGCTTCTGTCTGGATTTAGCAGTGTGTGGATGAGCAAAGCATCCCGGAAGAAGATTCAGTCCAGCCGTTGCTGGGTATTGAAAAAGGGTATAGGTAGAAAACAAGCAAGACGAGAAGGCAAGAAGGAAAGAATAGGTCAAGGGAGTTTGATAGCTTAGGAAAATTTAATTTGTTCAAATTAAGAGGCAAAAGGATAAATTCATGTGCAGTGAAGTGACAACAGTGACCTTAATGGAGTGGGATCACATAGCTTCATGAGCACGCACGGTCCCTTTTTGCTGTATGAGCCTCACTATTGAAGCCAAAATTGCATGGACACCGCAACAGCCCCTCCTGGTTGTCTTCTCTTTCTAGGTTGTGCTGTCACCATGCCTGTACTTTGCCACACATTGTCACCCATTGTACCTAGGGGCAATGTCGGGAGAGGCACCTCAGGATGGTCCTCTGCATGATCAGAGCAAGGTTTGGCCTAGTCATTGCTTGCCTCTTTTCTGATCAGAGCTTGGCTTGTCCCATCACCAAAATTTTGTGTTTTACCATGAATGTTCTCCCAAGCGCCATCCACTGTGCTTGCCCATACCTCATCCCAACCTCATTTGCTGACCTTTCCCTTGTTCTCTTTCTGTTTTATGCTGCAGGTTGGAGACTGGCCGTGAACATGTCTTGCCCATTGACTATTACTTTCCACCTCAAAAGACTTGCCTGATCTGTGGAGATGAAGCATCGGGGTGCCACTATGGAGCCCTCACTTGTGGTAGCTGCAAAGTGTTCTTCAAACGGGCAGCTGAAGGTAATGCATACAGAGAGAGGAGGGACAATCACTCCCACCTCCAAGTGTTGGCTTTCTCTACTAAAGTAGGCCAAGAGTCAAATGCTACTGACAAAAGTTCTGTCATCAGCAGTCAAGTCATTAACATGGAAGTGCTGGAGTCATTTGCAGCATCGTGATGTGTTTTCCTCCTGTTGAAAGAGGTTAAGCAGCCTTGCTTTGGGGAGCCTACCAAGCCATGGGAACTGAGGCAAAAGTGGTGGGGTCCAAGTGTGGTGGGTTTCTAAGATCTCTTAAACTAGTGAAGGAGAAAACTCAAGGATAAATTGATTTCTTTGTGCTATGTTTGTCATTCCACATTACAGATTGCTCTCAAAAAGTAGCCAAACCAGTTTTCCAAAACACAGTCCTTTTCAATGCCTGATTATCTTAGTGACCCAGTGAGACCCCAGAGCAGCCAGTTCCTGCTTCTCCTCTTGACTCTCAAGGGTGCTTTAAGTTCCCATCAGCCCTCCTGTGATCTCAGACCCACAACTCCAAATTCAGGGGATGCTTTTCCTCTCTTGGATCCCTTTCAGAGGATCACTTCTCTCAATGCCTGCAGAAAAGCAGAACTGTCTGTCCATCAATAGCCGTGCTCTGACCTCGGTGTCCATGATTCTCCGCAACCCTTGAGAAAGTAGCTTCTTCATCATGTCCATCTGTGTAGTGCCAGGTTCTCCAGAGATAAGCGTGAGCCCAGATGTTCCCTCTCAACAGCAAGGTCTCTGTGCCATCTTTCCTTGGTCATTAGCATGTAGAAGGCCCTAGCCCAGCTGTTTGCTTGGGCTGTGGGTCGGCAACGTCTGGTTTCTAACTGCAGTTAAGAGTCGTGATTCCTTGGCAGCAGAGTGAGAGTCTCTATTGTGGAAGCCTGACTGTGTCTAGTAATGCCATGTGCCTGTAAATCACAGGCATTTTCTGGAGTGATGAACCAATACAAATCACTGTTCTTCCTAGGTGCTAACATAGTCTATTCAGTGTGCTGACACACTGTTGGCCGTCAGTGTTGTAGGCCATGGCATCCCTGGGAGAGGGAGGCACTGTGGTTCCCAGCTGGTGGCCAGCAATGGGGGTGGAGGCTTCTGTCTCTGGCCTGTCTCGCTGTGACCTTCCCTTCCTGTGTCTTATGTCGAGCAGAGGTCCCAAACTCATGGGTGCTCACCTGCCGTTGTTGGAGCACTGCTTCTAGATTAATTCTAGCACTATCCTCCACCTTTTCAGAGTCACATTTTCCCTCATTTGTCGTGCATGCCAGGAGTGGTTCTTGTTCACAGAAGAACCGGGGCTGTGCCACAGAGGACAGCAGCATCCTGTTGCCATAATAGGGCAGTCAGATAATGTTAACAGATAACTTCAGCATATTTTCACAAGTAAATAATTTACAGCTATGTCTCTTTCCTATGCACCAATCCTGTGTAAGGCCAAATGGATTGGCTTGTGCAGCCAGAGTAAATAACAGATGCTTGTTTAAGTCAGCAAGTTATTGTTGATTTGCAGTAAGCGGAGACTTGGCTTTCTCTGTCAGATAGGCTGCTGCTGAAATACCCCATGTCAGTGGCGACTCCCAGGGCAGAGGTCCTCCTTCAGCACCAGGGTGGGCTCCCTCCTGTGTGGCAGTGACTGGGGCTGTGAGACGGCTGCTGCAGGAGAGGAGACAGCCTGGGCTGCTTGCACTGCCCTTGATCGTATGCTGTGGTGGTGTTCCCGCTCCTGCTTGTGTTACATCATTAATTTAAATGGTATTTATGCCTTTTCTTAGTTTTCAAGCCTCGAGGTATGGCAGAGGGTTAGAAGCGTTTGCTTGTGTGAGGATTGGGCAGCAGCAGCCCTTTGCCTTTCCCCTGGACGAGACCATGGAGCGAAGCGTGTCTGCCGCAAGGGGCAGCGGTGGGGGGGACACCTGCCTGAGTGTGAGTTTTCATCTTATGTTGCCCCGAGGTACATGGATAGAATCTTTATTTTGGGGAAGAGACAGGAAATCAGACTCCTTTGTAAGTACTGAATGCAGGGTAGTGGTAGGTGATGATCTCCATTCTAACTCTTGGTGATTTTCCAGCCAGACAGTTCCTCCTTAAAGCAGAGGAGCAATATTGAAATTTCAGTGTGTTCCCACGTTTTAGAGTCGATGAAATGCATCTCTGAAAACCTTAGGTCACCTTTGGAGACTTTACAACAGCAGATCAGAAAGCTTCCGCGACGAGAAAAGAAACCTTTTCTTCTGCCTCGGTTATCTTCCTGTTACTGGTGTAAGCCAGCAGCCTCGTACGAGTAGGAGAAGCAATGGACTGGGAACTAAAGAGCGGCACAAACAGATCACCTCAGAGGGAACAGACGGTAGCTAGACACATAGGTTTTCTTTTTATCATGTTCTTGGCCTAATATAATACTGAACTTATTTGGTAGTTATTCAGGGATATTTAAGAAGGTTTCACAGGCATACAGTGCCTTCTAAGGGATTAGAAAGGGAAAATATTTTTAAAAAAGAGTTATGACATTGATTCCTCTTCCCTTTTGAAGCACACTGAGGGATTTCTGTGGTTTCCAGTAGAGCAGATCTCTCCTTCTTTGATAAAATGTTTGACAGATTTGAGGTTTTTTGCAAGCTCAAGTCCAACCTCTTCTTCCAGAAAGATGCTGTAAGAGTTAACAGAAAAGGCATGAATGTTTTCCTGATCTCTTTCTGTCAGCTCTCTAGATTTATAGACACTCTCAAGTTGTCCAGGTTATATATAGGCCAGCTGTAAAATGCACCCTACAGATTCTTCAGCTCTGATGTGGCCTTCCTCACTTGCAAGATGGCCAGCTTCATTTTTGTGATCAAACCTGGCATTTATCTCTTCCTTTCTGTCACCCTTCTCCACTGTCCAAGCGCTGAGGGATCGAGAGGGTTGGGGCTTACTGCCCCATCGAGAAGTGCTGCTGCTCCTTTGCTGCCAGATACACACACAGCCTGTGAAGGAGGTCTCCTCCTCCATCTAATTCCTTTTTCTCTTGCAATAGCAAAGATTTGGTGAATAAAAAGTGCATCCACCTCAGCACAGATTTTTTTTCTTGATGCAAGTAGGCAGGGCATCGCTTCACATGGTCAGGGTGGCTCACATGACTTAAAGACATTAGGTTTTGGTCCTCATGGTACCGCACTTGTCCCTGAAAGAGAAAAATGCTTCAAACACAACATACTTCCAAAACAATTGGCAGTCCAGAAGTTCCTTTGTCCCATCCCATCCAGGAAGGGAGTGATTTTTGTGTTGCCTGCATCCATCCCTGAACAATAGTAGACCTTCCTTGTTGCTCCGAGATTGCATGAGATCTGACGGCCACCTTGGCCAGTTCAGAGCTGCCTCTGCAGTGTTCCTGGCAGCGCGGGACTGGGACACCTTAGGCTGCATTCCTGATGGGACTGCCTTTACACAGCAGAGAGCTAAGTGAAAAAATAGCACAGTATTTGGCCAATTTCCTAGAGGGCTGACAGCCAGACTGCCGTGCAGTCTGTTCTGATTCCCTCTCAGTCACTCTCCATGTGTATTGCTGTTCTACATCCCGACCTGCTGAGAATTAGCCTTGCACCAGAGAAACATCTCCGGGCCAACGCAACAGTTTCTTGCCAGTTTTCAAGATGACAGGTTAAAGTGAACTGTTTTCAAAGACTGTCACCAGGTTTTGAAATGCTCTCGTCTCCTTCCCGTGGCTGATCTGACAGCATACAAAGGAGTTGGGTCTGCAAAGACTTCCGTGGTGCTGCAGCACCATGATGCTCCTGCTTCCATGATGAGTTTCTCACTACGCTGTGGGTATTACCGGCCTTAAAAATCCGTGGGAAGAGCAGCAGGTGGAATAACTACTGCTTTGAAAGCTCGGGCCCTCCTGGCACAGCATGCTGCCTGTCTCCCACGCTGCTTGCTGGGTGGAATCGCTCTTCTCTCCCCTTGGTGGCCACAGCCTGGTGCAGCATTGCTTCTCTGTGGGTGACCTGGTGCATTGGCACCTGCCTGCTCTGGGTGTCCCGAGGGGTGGCAGCTCGCTGCGCTGTGCCCTGTGCTCGGTATTTCAGCCTGTGCTTGAGCGAGCTGTCGGTCAGTGAGTGGTCAGAAGTGACATGCGTCGGAGTCCGGCGCAGACAGTTTGTCTCTGAACAGGCTCAGGAGGCAAAAGCATTGCGGTTTTGTCTTGTTACCAGGGAGCTCAGCAATTAAAACATTTTTGCTTGCTGGATTTAAGCATCTTTAAAATAAATCCTTTTCAATCTGCACAGTCCTATAGTTGTTTACTTTTAAAGCTTATCATTAAGCCTTGGCTTGCTCCAGGCTTCTTGCTGGGTTGTCTTCCTGTACGGAGCTGTTACCTGCTCCTGCTGTTAGTTCACCAACATCTGTAACTTCCATGCTGGCATTTCTCTGGCTAGCTAATATTTTCACTTGCAGACCTTCGTTTCTGGTTCCGTGGAGAGCTTCCCCCTTGCTCCTCCCACAGAGCCAGCCTGCCTTCCCAGCCACTGCGGGCTGCCGAAGCTGCTGGCCCGAGAGAGAAGAGCTGGAGCTGGTGCTGAAGCCTGCCCTGTCACTGGGGCTGGATGCTTTCCTTTCGTTTTCTTTGGCTTTGTGGTAAATACAGGTGACTATTAAGAAAACGACTTTGCAAAGATAGTTAATAGTGGCTTAGTGTTGGTTCCTGAGAGCTTCATAGCTGTGCCCTCTTTGGTTAGTTGTAATGGGGGCATAAAGTGGGAGCTTCAGAGCTGCCCCAGCAGCAAACCCACAGGCTCAGCTCGTGCCATAGCCCAGCCAGTGACAGCGATAGGGACCGGGGGTTCTACAGAAGAGCACTAGAGACCCTGTGGTTACATGAGACCCTGGGGGATTCACCTTCTCAGAAAGCTTGGCCTTAGCCTCCAACTGTTAGAATTTGGTTTATGCCCTGAAATACAAGGATATATCTCTCTTCCAAAAGATATTTAATGGGTCTTCACATTCACAGTCATAAATCTTACTCCAGACGTTTGCACAGATCACTTTGCTTTCTGGAAGAGAAAGCTACTCCAGGCACAACAACTCATGTGGCAACAGGCTTTTAGTTAAATAACCACTGGATTGCACAACTAATCTTTCTCCATAAGCCTTTATTCTTAGTCGAGACCAGAGAGCTGCTCTTCCCCTCTGCTTCTGATGCTCATTGCAGTCCCAGGTGAGGAGCAGGAGGACTCAGTGACGGGAGAAGCATCTTTCTGCCCGGTGTGAGTTGACACAGCAGGGAGACTGTGCCGGCAGGAGTGTTCTGGCGAAGGGGACGGTGGTGCAGCAGCATATTTGTGGTGTGTGGTGGAGGGGAAATGAGAGCAGCCTGCAAGAGCCTCAGTTGTAGAGAGTGATCTGTTGATCTGCTGGGGTTCCTGTGCTGGTCTGACATAGCAGAGCAGTGCTGAGTACCTGTGTAACTTCACTTCTCGCCTACATGCAGGTCAAACAGTATCGGGATCAGCAGGGAAGGAGAGGGGTCTTCTCTAGGCATAGATCTGTGGTGTCATCAACTGGGCAATTGTACCTGAGGCTGGCACCTTGCAGCATCCCTGTTGTAAAGAAACTCTGGGTGTCTGGCTTTGCAAAGAGCAGGACCACTGGGTAGAACAGGGGAGTATGTTTAAAGTTTAGACCTGTACTTACAGGTTTGCAAAGCAAGAGCTTCTGCTTTGGATTAATGTGAGAAAGCATCTCTATTGTTTGCAGGAAAGAAAAGGAGAAAAAAAAAAAAAAATCCAGTGTAAAACTAAAAGAAAAAACAGTGCATTTATCTTTAAGTAAAGAACAGCTGATTACAAATGTCTCAGCTTGTTCTTAAATAAAGAGAGTAAATTATCCTGAAATTAAAACCAAGTCTCTGTATATAAGAAGTTACTTGAGACAGAGGGCACTCATGTATCCCAGCCATCCCTCCCTTTTGCAGCCAGTGGCACCTTCTCCCCTGCATGCCCGTGCTGTGCTCAGGTGACACAGCCATTCATCTCCATGTCGAGCAGTGCATACTCCCAGCTTGGAGAGAAAGGATGGTGTATGCTGGTGCAGGCAGAGCAGACGAGCTGCTGTTGCTGGCATATCCACCAGAGACACTTGGTCTGACCGGGTGTCTGTCTGTGCCAGAGGAGATGAGAGTTCTGGCCGTTGTGGTTCTCTGTGGTCAATGGGGCAAGTGCAGGCAGTTCAGGATGGGTGGCTTCACTGGGGCAGTGACATGGTGTGGCCCTCTCCTAGGATGTGGGTTTGTTTCACAAACAGCTGGGGATAGCTGTGATGAGGGTGCTGGGTTTCTTGTAATTAAAGGGGGAATCTCTACAAGATTCCAATCCCTAAGAATCAGGACAAGATGAGCAAGCGGCTCATTCTCATGCTGAGCAGAAGCAGACTCGTGAATAGCCATTGCATGACCATTTATTTCCCTTTTTGTTAGTGGCTAACAGCTTAGAATAAACAGTGCCAGACTATGCATGTACAGTTAACAGGAAATCGGTTCCTGCCCCAAAGGATTTGTTTTGTGAACCAGGAAGCAGGCCTTTGCTATTTCAGCAAAATCACTGTACCGCGACTGGAGGGTGAGTTGTTGGCTGTGATTTAAAAACTTACGTTCATCCGAGCCCATCAGCAGGCAGGTGAAGTTGTCGTAGAGACTCTTCTAGTGTGCCCGTTCTGTGCACAGTGATTGCTCCCTCTCCGTGTCCCTTCCCAGCAGTGACAGAGGTGGCGGATGCTGTTGCAGAGCAGGTGGGGAAACAGCACAGCTGCCTCATCAAGGAAGGCTTGATGACAGTTCCCAAATACCATCCATCCCCCTGCTCCTCTCCTGTGTGTGCCTGGGGGGACAGAGCAGAGTGGGGGACGAGCCCGCACGTCAGGATGCTGCTGGGAGCCTGGGTCAGAGAAAGGGGCTGGGGATGTTCCTCCTCTTGTCAGGGGAATTGAGATAGAGCAGTGCCTGACCCTGAAGTGTCCTTGGGGGGCTCAGGCAGTGATGGTGCTGCCTTACCTTACTAAAGCCATTCGCAGGAGAGGCTTGACCTTTTTAAAGATGTTGAACTATTATTGTTGCAAAAATGCTGTAGTTTAGACTAGGGAAGCAAGATACGGAAGGAGCAGGAGCCGAAGGGAGAGCAGACGAGTTGTGGGCATGCTCCCAGGGCAGTACTGCTCACTGCAGCTCCACGGCCTCATCCAAACACTGAGTTGCTCCTGTGGGCTGGGCTTGAGCCTTCCCTGTAGTCCCAACCCCAGCCATTTTACACTCATGGTAGTTTTCATGGGCTCTGCAGCATCCCAGTGCCAGGTGTTGTCACAAGACAGGAATCCTGCAGTGCAGCTGCAGCAGCAGGAGAGCAAAATCACATTGCAGCTCTCCGTGCCCATGCCTGAAAAAGCAGGGCGTCTGTTCTTGTTTGGTGTCTATGTGTAAAGAGGTTGAGTAGAGAGAGTGGGGCCTCGGTGCTTGTTTCCCATAGCACAAAAATAACTCCCAAGTAACCCAGTTTCAGCTGAAGTTGTTACTCAACCTCCTCAATGGACTGTTGAAAGGGATTTGGTGTAATCGCTGCTTCTGAGGCTTGTCTAAGTGTCCTTAACACTGGTAATGAGCAAGGGGAGAGGGGTGAGAAGAGGTGCTGCTGAGAATAGTGTTAAAAGGATTCACCGTGTGCTGCAGGTAATGCACTCGTGCCCCATTGTGTCTCCAGACTTAACAGCAAGGGCACTGGGGGTGGTGTAACGATCGGCTTTTAATGGGGACGCCTCTAAGAAGGTATTTTTGCAGCTCTTTGGTGTAGCCCCATGCGCACGCAGTGTGAGAAGTTGATTATACACAGAGTCTTATAACGACTGTCCTGTGACCTGGTGCTGAGGGGCTGCAAGTGGGGTTTTGCAGCTGGCAGCCGGTTGTGCCTTGGCAGCCGCAGCCATGCCCTGGCAGCCAGCACTGGGGAGGAGCGGGGGGACCTTTGATGGGCTTTGTCCTCCTGGGGCATGGGAAGCAAAGCTGCTGTCTGGGGCGGGGAAGGGTGATGGTCTGTGATGCTGAGTTGTGAAAAATTTGCCGCCTTTTCTGATTCTAATATCTTGAGAAGTTGTGGATGTGTGCGTGGGAGGTGGGGAGTTGTTATATCAGTGCACCAAAATCAGTGCATCTCTTGTCGGAACTGGTATGTTAAGTGGTTAGATTCAACCTCGTCCTTTTAATGGATCTCTGATCACTTCAAAGGGCTATTCCTATAGGAATATAGAAAGCAAACACTTGCAGGATGATAAATAAAGGTTAAGCTGAATATAGACTGATTTCCCATGTAGGCTGCTTATTCAGAGTCTGTGAGGTGCAGAGTCTGTGCTCTGTTCTTTACTGGGACTGGTTTAGTTTGGAATGGTATGAAGAACATCAGATAAATGCTGATCCAGTAAACGTGTTTAGACTTGACAAGAAAATGAACGATATGTCAGGAAGGAAAGTTCATTCTTGGCATGACTAGCACATGAGGCAGTGAAAAAAAAAAGAACTGAAATCTGGAGCTTTATGGGCTGCTCTCTAAACAAGTGGAAAGGTTAGTCGAAGATATGGGTTAGTCTGACAATAAGTAACTTCTGAATTTTCTGCGAGTCCTCCCAAACCAGCTGTGCCCAGGGTCTCCCTTACAGGGACTCAGTGGTCCCACTTCCCTCCTGGCTGGCTGCGAGTGCAGCCCAGGGGCCAGGGTGACTGGTGCCAGCCCAGCATGGGACCCACAGCAGCAGAGCCTGCAGGGCAGCAGCTCCCCATGGAGGCAGTTCCCCAAGCCCAGGGTCTGTAATCTGCAGACAGCAAACCCAATCAGTATTAAAAGGTGGCACAAAAAATAATTCAGCCCCAAAAGCACTGCATAGAGAGTCGTGGTGGTAGAGGGAGGGCTGTGTTTGGCAAACAGTAGGTAAGTGCCATGGCAGGAGGGTCGAACTGTGTTTTGGGAGAAAAACAGGTTGTCGCAGCAAAAAGCCAAGCAATAGATGTATGATATTTAAAAAATGAGAAGACGACCATCTGTATTTCACTACTTCTTAATTGCTGTTTATTGATTACCTCTGCTGTGCTGCATGGTACAGAGCAGTTTTTCCTCTTGAAGATCTTGCTCAGAAAGCCCCTGCTGTATGCCTGTGAAGGGAGCAGTGCCACTGGCAGCAGGGAAGGCAGGGAAAGGGAGCTGAAGTGTGGCGAAACAGCAGTGCCTGCGTCTGCATTTCAGGTAGCCAGCTCTCATACAAAGCATGTATGTCTGCCGATGAGCCACTCCTGCAGTAGCAGAGGAAGACCTGTGCTGTTTTCCCCAAAGATGCCAACTTCCAACATAAATTTTCTGCTGGGGGGTGAACTGGGAAACCAGCACTGATATGGTCCTCCCTCTCCCTCCTCTCCCTCCTCTCCCTCCTCTCCCTCCTCTCCCTCCTCTCCCTCCTCTCCCTCCTCTCCCTCCTCTCTCTCCCCTGCCTCGTCTGCGCGCTGTCTCCCTCGGGAACCCAGCACTGATATTCTCCCTCCTCTCCCTCCTCTCCCTCCTCTCCCTCCTCTCCCTCCTCTCCCTCCTCTCCCTCCTCTCCCTCCTCTCCCGATGTGGGGGACCCTGGTGATACGAGAAAGTGTGAGTCCATTTCTGCTTGTTAAATGTCTGATCGGTACCCATCACCCATCTGCTGTTTCCATTGTTGTTCGTAGGTAAACAGAAATACCTCTGTGCCAGCCGGAACGACTGTACCATCGACAAGTTCAGAAGGAAAAACTGCCCATCCTGCCGCCTGCGGAAGTGCTACGAAGCAGGGATGACTCTTGGAGGTACTGTCTGAGTGACATCCCCTGGCTGCTTGCAGTGGGCTGGGGCAGCGGGGCTAGTCCTGCAGATAACAAAGGTACTTGGCCTATGAATAGTCAGTAAATGGCAGAAAAAATGAGACTGGTGAAGCATAATAAGCTACAGGAAACATTTGCAGATTTCTAATACTAAAACTGTGAATTTCGTTAAGAGTTTGTGTTTCAGGAAACAGTCTTTCCCTTAATTTAAAACCTTGTTAATCTGAAAGAATGTAAACGGCTGGGTTAGCTGGGTTCTCACTCACACCAAAGCCTCTTTGAACAGAGCACTCCCATTTTAAGATGACTTTTCCCAGGCAGAAAGGGGTATTTTTCTTTATAAAATTACAGCCCCAGTATTTTTCTTTGCTGAATGGAAGCTGCTCCTGTATCTCTGATAAAGATCCTTGTTACAGCTTGTCTCTGTTCCAAAACCTGTAGCTCTACCAAAACCTGACAGAGTGCCTATATCCAAAATCTGAGGTTTTCTGCTCAAACTGTAGAAGCTACAGTATAAATCACCGAGTGGCTCATCTTTGAGTTCATTTGATTTGAGAGCGAGGAAGAAAATACCCTGAAAAACGGGACTGTTGGACATGACCCGTGATGAAAAGGGCCCTGACAGCAAAGCAAGTGATGCAGAAAGGGAAGCCACTGGCAGCGCCAGTGCAGGGGGAAGTGGGGGAGCCCTGCATGGTTAGATGTGCCAGCATTTTAGTTTAAATGCTTCCACCACTGCTGGGATGGGCAGGGCCTTCCAGAGCTGCTGGAATGTTGTCTTGCAGAACTTGCTACCGAAGTGGTTCTGGTTTGTTGCTCGTTGAGGAGCAGCGGTTTTAATTTTATTGCTTCCCTGAACAGTTCCTACAGCTCAGGTGCCAACAAGCACTTCCAGTTGGGAGGGCAGGAGCCAGCCTCTCCCCTCTGCTTTTGCAGCAATGGGTAGTAAATCTGATCAGTGGGGACGCAGCTCTTGGGGGAGTGTCGCAGGGATGTGCAGCTTGCTCCTTTCCTCCTGGTAGCAAGCAGAAAAACCAAACGTCCCGAAAGGTAACTCAGGCCTAAAACTTCATGACGCAAAGCCCATGTGCTGGCTCTGACCGTCCTTCGCTTGTGCTCCCCCTCTGTCACAGGTGAGCCGTCGGCAGGGTCCTGCTGCTCCAGTGCTCAGGGAGCAATGTGCCTGGGCCCGTGCAAAGGCACACCATGATTTTGGAACACCAGGGAGGTGCCCGGTCCACCTGATGCGACCAAGCAGGCAGTTCGCTTGCTGAAGTGACCGGGTAGCTCTCTCCATCTTGCTTCCCTGGTGTCCGCGTCACCAGTTCTGCCTCCAGCCCCAGTCAACCAGCCCAGGTGGGCAGGAGCGAGGGCAGAGGAGCCTGTCCCAGTGCCATGCCTGCCCGCATGCCTTCTTGCAGGAGTTCTGGTGACAGTCGCTTTTGTGGCTGTTCATAGTCATGGCTTCCCGGGGAACCAGAGGGACTTCTCACAGACCCTTCTTTTGTCCACCTGCAGCGGTCGGGACCGGGATGCTGCCGCCACCCTGCCCATGGGATTGCTGGGTGACGGGGATGAGGAGCCAAACCCAGCTCCCTGGTCCACAGCCAGCAGCCGGGCTTTGTAATGCCATCCAAAACAAGCATGCAATTATTTTTACGTGCTTTTTTCTGGTGAAATCTCCTTAAGTAAGAGAAGACATACATCAGTGTAACCTTCTGCTGCAGGACACACTGACAAAATTAATGCTAATACTGATAGCCCCCCCTCCTTTTTTTTTTTTTTTTAACCTTTCTGGGTCACCCTGACCTTTTCTGCCTGGTCTGTTTTACATTTGTTTTGAATGTTGGTTTAAAGGCAATTGTTAGAAACATGCCTGCTATGAGTTTGTCCACAGTTATTTCTCCCACAGTAGAGAGGCAGAGCATTTGAAAACGCTTCCAAGCACCAAACAGTTGTTTTTAACTGCCCGTTAATTACTAGTCACAACCTTTCTGGGTCACCCTGACCTTTTCTGCCTGGTCTGTTTTACATTTGTTTTGAATGTTGGTTTAAAGGCAATTGTTAGAAACATGCCTGCTATGAGTTTGTCCACAGTTATTTCTCCCACAGTAGAGAGGCAGAGCATTTGAAAACGCTTCCAAGCACCAAACAGTTGTTTTTAACTGCCCGTTAATTACTAGTCACTTGTAGGGTATAATAGAGCTGCCTGTGCCAAGCAGACCTGCAGCTCTCGGTGTATTTAATGGGACGAGGAGATGACACACTGAATACTTTATTTAGGACTCTGCTTTGGCACAGAATGGTGATATGTCGAAGCACTTCATTATTGATTGAGATCACTCTGACCTGCAAGCTGAAATCCATTAAACAGACTCTTCTCTCCCAATCAACACTGTAAAGCCCAAGAGAAGGAAAAGAAGAAAAAAAAAAAAATAAAAAAAAGTGATAATCCCTGTTTTGTGTGCCTGGTTCTGCTGGTGCGCTGTCCTGCCTCTCCCACTGCGCCAATTTCTGCTGCAAGCACAGGTGCCTGCATGGCTGCATGGATCCTGCCAGCCCCTGTGCATGGGAAGCATGTCGCTGCACGGATCCTGCCAGCCCCCATGCATACGTGGGCGTCTGGACCCCCCTGTCCTGCTCCAGCCTGGACCCTATACATCTGCTGAACTGCACAGCTCTGGGTTTAAGGCACCACCTGTTCGTTTGCTGCCGGTGCATTTTAATCGTGGTGTGTGAGGTTCCATGGGCTGTTCCTGTGGTGAGAACCAAGCACCTCTGCCCTCCGATGGAGCTGGCAGCCTGCCCATGCTGTGGGATGTCTGCTGTGCACCTTCGGCCTCCTGACTGCGCTCCATGTGGGTCCTGTCTCGGGGCAAAACTTCCCAAACATGTACAATTCAGTTCATTTCATTGATGGCAGGGCTAGAAAATTAGCTGCAGTAACTGCCAATAGCCTGTGAAAGCCCGAGCCATACCTGTGTCTAGTCCTAATTCAGGTCCAGTTGCTGTGGTTAAAATAGAGCTCGTGTCTTGTAAGAGCATTTGATATTGCTGTGAGCACTTCCAGCAGTGGAGAGTCCAGCACATTTTTTGCCATGCAGTTGCAGTAGTTAATTATGTTCGGGGTTGTGATAATGTACCTTGTTTTTCATCTTGTCTGTCCTTGATTTCCAGCAACTGGATATTTGTTATGGCTTTCCTTGGTAGATTGAAAAAAAAACTTTTATTGAATTCATGTCCCTGCTGTGGGTTATTTGTTGGCTGTGACTTAATAAGCCTTTAGCCTCCTGCATAGCCACCTAGGTAAATTCTTTACTTCCTTGCTCCAAGGTGTGTTGTGTAGTCTTTACTGTTCTTATTGCCTCTGGGAACACCTCCCTCACACTGTGAACATCTAATCACAGTTTTCCAGTCTCAGCAGCATCAGTGCTTAGAGGCGGCATAGGATGCTCTCCGGGTCAGTGTTTTCCTTCTTCACACGCCACAAATTCCTGTTAGTCCTTTTCCCCTGAACTGTCCTGCCTGCTCAGGCCTCTGTGTGTGTCTGTCAGCTTTTGGGGCGAGTTCAGGCTGTCGAGGATGAAGCTCGACATCCCTTGAGTATGGCTCACTTTTTCAGTTGCTCCATACAGCTCCTTACAGAGAAGTGTACTTTGCTGTAGTAGAGTGAGCTTGTCAGCAGACCTTGATCAAGTGATCAGTCCTTAATGTTCGTTACTGTTTTCCCATCTTTGTGTTCTCATACAGACTTTTTAGTAGAAATGGTTCTTTTTATCTTTGGAATTAATGTAGACATTCACTAGCAAAGGGCCATGAACAACCCACATAAGAAACAAACCTGATGTTGTTTCAACATTTATAATTACTTTTTGATATATCACCTGGGTGATTTAAAATCCTTCAACAGTACTGTGATTTTATGTCATTCAAGTTTCTTTAATTCATATGGGCCAAACTGACTCAGATCTCTCAAATATGTCTGCAATACCAGTAGTATTGTAATTATCAACTAAAATTCTCATGCCAGAAAAGACTGACAGCTTGACAGGATCTGGTTTTGACAAGCCTCATGTTGATGTTAATAAATAATTTGAAGAGTAGGATATAAGTCAAGTCCTGTTTCAGCTTCTCTGCCATTTTGCCTGCAGCTGAAATCAGTGTGCAGTGCCTAGGGCTGGAGGATTTCTCTGTCATCGCTAGTGCAACAACAGTTTTCTTCCAGGTCCCCAGAACTTTCCTGAGTCCCAGCACTCATGAAAAATCCGTGCTGGAACCCAGAGCGCTCCTTTGCCAGCTTTGGAAACACCTGGTGGGAGGGTGGGCAGGTGAAGCTGCTTGAAATGGGTGTCGCTTCCAGAAGTGCTCTGTGGTGTGCTCCCCAGGGATTCTTGCACTGGTGAATATTTTATCATGATGCCATATAATTACGTCCTCTGAGCTTTTTTTCCAAACACGTACGATATTTTCTCAGTTAAGCCCAAGCCAAATGGCTTTGACCGCAGGGCAGTGCTGTGCCAGCAGCTGTGTTTCAAGGCTTCCCAAGTGCCCCTGTCCCTGCTGACAGCCGAGCCAGTGCTGAGGTTCATCCCACCTTGGTTTAGAGAGGTACCGTATAGACTTCTGCCTCGCTTAGCTCTCAAGACACGGAGGCATTTGGTTTATGGCTGCAGTCTCAGAGCCGGCGTGGTTGGTTGCTTGCTCTCATCTTATTTCGCTCGATATCTTTTAGTACTAGATAATTCAATTTTAAGAAAAAAAAAACACATTTAAACCAAACCATGTGTATGTTTTATACAGTGTGGGTTTGGCTCTAGTTACACACAGGCCTGATGGGCACTGATTATTCATCTTTGGAAGATATGGTTTGGTTCTTATGTCTTTTTTTTAAGCTGGGGAGCTTTTCTTTCCTAGCAGCACTCCCATCTCTAAAGGTCTGGTGCCAAGCATGATTGTGAGACGTGGTTTCTGCCATTAATGTGGGGCTGTTTGGCAACATGGGACCAGCGTTCTTAGCTCCTTCCGTGCCGCTTGGCGAGAGCAAAACCCGAGTGCAGCTCCTAGGCAGAGCGGTGCCATACCTGCCCTGGGGATCAGCTCTCTGGGGCTTGGAGAGTAGGATGCCAGGAGCCCCCTGGTGCTGCCTGTGCTGCCGGTGACTTCTGGAGGGGCCAGATGCTCTGGCCAGCCTGGCACCCCAGCAGACGATGGCTGGAGGGTGTCACGCTGCACTGCAGCCCTGTTTTCTTGTTGCTGTCCTTTATTTTTATTTCTCTTTTCTCCTCCTTTTTTACAGAGCAACCTGTCTTAACTGCTCGTACAGTAGATCAGCCAAAGTATGTTGCTTAAAGATCAGCGCTTTGAATTGATTTACAAAGCTGCACTTTAACTTGACATTTTTATGTTTCACTGCTTGTTTTTCTAATTACAGCTGAAAGGAAATGTGAGATAAGTATCATGTAACAAAGGAGCCAAAACCCCAAGGACAATTGGTTTGATGTTATGTTCTCTGCTGGAATTAAGCGATTGGCTTTTTTTCTCTAATTTATTAGGGTTTGTGGAGTCGATAAGGGCTGAAAGCTGTTCCTGTCTGCAGTAGCTTGCCAACTGGTGTTCTGCTGAACACTGTCATGCAGATAGCAAATTAGGTCAATGCTGACTTTCAAAGAATTCTGAAGTCATGCATCTGAAGACCCAGGTGTATCTTGCTAGCAGACTAGCATCTGGAATTAAGAGCCGGGTGCACAGGAGAGACACTTCATCAAGGTGGCATGGGTACAGTCGGCGGCTGCCTGCAGTCCCAGCCCCATGAGCCCACTCTGCTGATGTTGCTCTTGAAGCTGGCTGGCAGACCAAGGCTGCCCCTGCTCGAGTCTTCTCCTCATCAGTGGGCTGGCTGGGGAGAGCCCAGGCAAACAGCCGTGGAACTACCTGCTAGCTTTTCAAATGTATTTTCCATAATATATTTGTGGAGTAGTGACCTGGCTGGGAGAGTCTGCAGAGGCACTGCAGGAGCCCTGGGCAGGGAGAAGTCATTCCTCTCAGCCGCAGCCTGCTTCCATTCTGGCCTGGGATGGAACAAGCCCACTTGAGCATCCGAGTGCAATGGCTTTTCCTCCTGGAACATGGCCATCCACTGAGTTCACTTGCTTGCATTGTTTCCCTTTTTAATTGCCTGTGAGTCGTCATTTGAATCGAGTCACTTCTCTCTTTTCCCCAGTTCTTCCTCTCCATTTCTAAGCAGGAGTTAATGTAAGACCAGTCACGACTGGAGATGTAAATGATGCTTGTTCTTTTCCATGGAAGATTAACAAGCAAATGGATTTCCTTGCTCAGTGCGTGCTCCCTTTTGTACTTACATGAGGTCTGTGATGCCGAGGCACTCCTTGGGCGGTGTGCGCTGAAGGAGTAGCTGCTGCTGGCCATCAGTTTCCCTTTCCTTGTAAATACAAGTGATGGAGCTGGAGGCCAAGAAACCTCAAGCTTTTTTGTTTGCTTGTTTTTTAGCATCACGCTAAAATGTGTCATTTCCACAGCCCGCAAGCTGAAGAAGCTGGGAAACCTGAAGACACAAGATGACATGGAGGCAGCCAGCTCATCCAGCCCCACAGAGGAGCAAGGTCCCAAGATGGTGATGACACGCATTGACGGGTATGAGTGCCAGCCCATCTTCCTCAACGTCCTGGAGGCCATTGAGCCTGGCATGGTGTGTGCCGGCCATGACAACAGCCAGCCAGACTCCTTCTCCAACCTGCTGACCAGCCTGAATGAGCTCGGGGAGAGGCAGCTGATCTATGTGGTCAAGTGGGCAAAGGCCTTGCCAGGTGAGCTAGAAACCTAACAAATCCTGTCCCTTCCCTGGCACCTTCCTAAAGCCCCCCTGCCTACATCACCTGGGGTGCGTTTGAAGGAGGTGGTCTGCAGCCTGTGTCCCACCATCACACAGTTCCTCGGGGGAGCATCTTCATGGGGCATCTGTCTGTGTACTATCTCCGTAAAGCAGGCTGCAGCAGCATCGGCTTTGTCTCCTTTGGGTGTCTGGTTGATGGGAGAGGTGACTAGGGGATGACAAAGTATGTAGAAGCTTGTGCTTTTGGGTCTGTCCCCGCTGATAACCCTCAGGACACAGTGTTGTGTAGGCATGCGTCTGCGTTCCTGCACAGGAAGGGCTGTTGCTGGTCAGGAGCTCCAAGGTCTTGCTCTCTTCCCGGGGGGTTTGCTTCATGTCCAGGGCTGTGTCTGCCAGACCTGCAGAAGTCTTCTCTAAACAAGTATTAGTCCCATCCCATAACCCGTGTGAAGTAGTGAAAAGGGTAAATTCTCCAGGTGAATCAGAAGTGTGCCACTTAGTGGTATGAAAGTGAGTTGGGGAAGACTGGGCTTGACAGATGGGATTGATCCTTCCTCCCCATGTTTGTGTTTCACAAGCCGATGTATTGTAAAGTAGCAAGAGAGAGATACAAAATCCCAAGGGGCTTTCTCCTGGCACTCAGGTTGCTCTTGTGTGACAGGCTGCTGGAATATATTCGTAATGCACTCGAAGTGGTGATACAGGAGTACATTAGGGTTGGGAAGTTCCCAATGGTAATAATTACCAGGTGCTGTAAATGAAAACATCTTGGTGGTACATGTGTTTCGTTGAATATACTCCTTGTTCCTGTGCACAGAGCTTACCAGTCTGTAACACACTGCCCATTGCATGTCAGAATCCTGTCAGCTGAATGAGTGACATTGCAGAAGGCCAAGGTCACTGTGGGTGCAGCAGGATCCAGTTCACCTTCCAGCATCCCTGAGACTGGGGCGTGAGGACAATTCCAAGCTGCCTTCCTCACCCTGGCCCTCTTCCTTGGGAAATGCCACAGAAAGCAGGGGTTCTACTCTTCATGTGAGGGATGATATGACCAAAGCAGGAAACTGAGGCAAAACAAGTTTGCCACTATATGCCAAAAACTGGTGATGAACTGTAGTCAGATGTTTGACGTTCCCAGAAATTTAGCAGTCCCCCTGGAAGTAGCTTGACTGGTGGCCCAGGATGGGCATTAGTGTGAATATGCTTAAATGCAGAGCAGCCCATTCTGTTTCTTATATTCTTGAGTCAGAAAAGGTCCACCTAGCTTGTGAAACCTGGGACAAATCATGCTTTCTCTTCTGGCTTACTTACATCAGACATCGAGATTTCTTCAGAAAAGTACATGGAGACTGGAGTACATCAAACTGGACCAACAATGTGGGGGCTGAGGTTGTAAAACCGTGGCAGTGCTAATGGAAAGGGAGAGTGGTTTGAAAAACATTTTTTATCGTAACTGACCGTTATCAAAGGTTTTTACTTTCCTGTACTGCACCTGATCTCCCACCCCGTGGTGCGTTGTGGTGCAGTGGTCCAGCTGCTGCACCGCTGCCTCCCAAGGCCGGCACTTGCCATGTTAGCCACAGTATCTGGGCAAAATTAGTTCTTGTCTTCTCACGTCTGAGTGGTCACTGCTCTCTGGGCAGCTGCAGTATAACCACAACCCCCTCGGCAGGCCAGGGGATTGCTTTCAGAGCCCAGCTGTCCTGCATGGTGGCGTGCTGCCCTCCCTGTCCTGCTGGCTGTGCAGCTGGTGCTGGCTTGACCCTTAAGCATCTCTGTGCCCGGAGTGACAGGCAAAGCCAGTGGTGAAAACGTGCCAATGCTCGAGTTCAACCACCAATTCGTCACTTTGTCATTCTCCTGATATTTTCCAGGCAGTGCTGTTGCTGTTCTGGTGCTCCGGGCAGTGGCTTGGCAGCCCCTTCGCTCGGGCAGCAGTCCAGCCATCACTGCGAGGAGGTGGATCTCAGCCACTGTTGGGTCCTGCCTGCTCTGGTGCTGGTGCTGCCTGGGAGCTGGGCGAGGGACAGGTGCACCTGGCAGCACCAGGCAGCTCTGGGACTGGGCGGCTGTGCCAGGCATGGCCCTTCGCTGCCTCCACTGTGGCCACTGTGCTTTTCAGGTACACTTGGATAATCCTACCCCATAGCCAGAGGTAGTTTGCTATCTATAATTGATTTAAATTATATTTTGGTTAATAAAGCAGAAGTGTTTTCAGCTCCTGGGTCTGCAGGTTGGCTAGGCGGCCTGGCGCCCAGCGGCTTGGGAGAGGGGTGGTGTGGGCGAGCACACGCAGGGGGAGAAGTAATGGGAACAAAACCCAAGCAGTTTGAAACAGCAGGATGCAGTTGTTTTGATCAAAACAGAAAGATCTTTGCATGGTCCGGTGGGGGACTGGAGGCTGTTTAATGAACACGGTTGCTGGCGAGGTGCAGTGGGAGCAGACCATAGGGCTTGACCGGCTGCTGCTGCATGGCACAGCAGCCTTGGCCATGAGGAGGAACAGTGCCTGAGGCTGAAGCAGCATGTGTGTCATAGGAGTAGCCTCAGCCTCATAATACTGGCAATAGATTAGTGTGGGTTAATAGATCATTATTAACCTTGCATCCTGCATTGGACATCACCTGTACACGCTGCACTTCTTCCAGCGAGGTTTCGGTGATAGCTCAGAAACAAGACTGCATTCAGGTCGGAGCTTTTCTGAGCCCTGCTTACCTGCAGCAGCAATATCAGCCTCTGTCTAGTGGAGAAAATGGAATGCATGGCCCTTTGGACCCTATGCACTTGAAACTCTCCATAGGAGAAGGTAGACTCAAACTGTGGTTTCCTTGGAAAGGAAAGATTAAATGAGCACAGCTTGCCAAGAAAGCTGCTGAAACACAGAGTTAAAAAATCGGATTAAATCCATAAAATCTGTCCACTTCAAGGTCAGTGGAAGGAGTATGTATTTTCCCTTTTCCATATATATAAATTCAGCAAAGGTGTTACAGTTGGTTTAGATCAGCACTCAAACACATTAGTTTAAGGATCATTTTATCTGGCAGCAAATGCAAAGTCTTCAGTTCATTCCCGAAGCTGATAGGAAGGAAATCAGCCTGTGAAAAATAACTGTGAGTGTGCGGGAAGGGCTACCTGAGCCGGGGAGGGGCAGGGGCTGCAGCTCTGCTGCCAGCCAGGCAGAGGGACACCCCTCGCCTTTTAGTGACTCGGTGCTCAGGTGATCAGATACTCTACCCGGTGTCACTGAGACGGAGCTATTTGTTAGAGCTACTGTGAACTCTAGGTGCACATGCCCTTAGTTAGGGCTTTATGGTGTTCCAAGCCATCGCTTGCTTTACTGTTTCAAATACACTGTTTTACAATATGTCTTAACTCACCCTTTAACTGTAAGGGTACAGTTCACTGTGCATCTTTTCTGTTCTGTGGTCAATAAAATTTCCAGATACAAAATGAGTATTTGTTTATATCAGAAACATTACTTACGATAACATGTGAGGTGTGCAGTTGCCGCTCTTTTAGGGAGATACCGTTCTGGCACAGCAGTGCATCGAGAGGGAGGATGCAGAATTTATTTCCAAACTATGCTGCTTTAAGATTATTCATGAGAAAAAGGTTATGCTTTGATCTTTTTCAAGTCATCAGTAAATTTAGTTTTACTCTGATCTCTTTCTGTAGAAGTTATCTTCATTTGGGTCTCTTCAAACTATGCCAAAACTAAAAATTTAACGATATATTGTGGCATTAGGTTTGTATTTATTTTCTGTTACAGTGATTTTGGCTGTACATCATCTGAGTAAGATGCCTGGAGTGGGGAAGTTTCCAGGAAATGATAAGTATCTGGTTTCTGACAATCAGTTTTGTTTCGAGGCATTTCAGCTCAGACGCTGGAAGCAGGGATTCCTTTGAGAAAAGTCGGCCACTGTGTTTCTAGAACTTGTTTTTGTGGAGAAGCAGGAAGCATACTTGAAGTCCTGTAACAACAAAGCTGTGGTGTTCAAATACCTTCCCTTAAACATTGATTCAGCTTGCACAAATATTTTTTTTTTAGTGAATGTAATTACAAGGTAATGAACAAGTGCAGCAAAATCCTTCTCATAGCAAAGCTTAGGTGCAATAAATACTTTCTGAAATGCATTGAAAAGCTGATACTCGGTGGTTAAGGGAAAGCCGGTCCCGGAGCAGAGCTGCTGCCTGTGTTGTCGGCACTGGTTTGCATGGACAATGGCAGTGCTTGTGGTGTCACGCCGGAGTGAGCAGGGCAAGGAGCTTCTGCTGGTGCTTCCAGCAGCTTCGTCCTGTGGATGCTGAGCCCAGCAGAACTGGGGTGGATCACTTGTGAGGACTGGGGTGAAGTTTGACTGAGTTTGCTGTTCGTGGGTAAGTTTTCTGTCTCCAAGTCACTTCCAGAGTACAGGTCTCCTCTGTGGTGGTAGGATTTCTGGGCCTCGCTCCCAGAGTACAGGCACGAGGGAATCCAAACGTCAGACACCTCTGGCTTGCCTTCTTCCTCCCCCACCTCATCCTCTCCATCACGCCTTGGTACACAGTCTGGCCTACAGCACCTTTTGGGCCCAACTTCTCACTGGGAAGTTACCGCAGCTCTTTTGAAGACAGAGAATCTGCTGTCATAAATACGTTTGCATTAATTAAATATGAAAATCTAACTTAGATGTGCCCTAGAGATGAGTGTGGCTGGTTTTATGAAGCCCTCGTGTTGCCCGGATGCCTTGTCAGTACTCATGTGCCATTGACAAGTTTCAACTGGTAGCCGAGACCGCTCTGGATGGGAATCGCCTACTCGGGCTGAGCAGGACAGTACCTGTGCTCAAGCTTCAGGGTTTTTAATCTGGTGACATGCAAGCTGAAAGGGAAATGTACAAATGTAGAGGAGTTTAGCCAGCAATAAAACACAACCTGTGCTCATTTACAGTTGGCAGCTTCCCAAGCAGGAGACAGTTGCTTGCCTCAATGGATTATAATTATACACTGGAGGTGTTAGTATTGCTTTTGTATTTGATTGAAATAACATACATTTTTCTTGAAACGAGATTAGATTTGACTGTTTACAAGTATCTGGAAAACAGTCCAATGTTGGAGGTGATGTTTGTGTGTGTGTTGCCTGGGATTTGACTGTGAACCACCATCTGGGAACACTGATTTGAATTTAATTGATATTTTTGTTTAGCTTGCGATTCAGCAGAGTTTTTTATGTTCATTTTCGTAGTCATTAGATAAACACAGTGTATATTTGACAGAGAAGCTGAAGCAGTCTGTTAACCGTGTGATGAGGCCTGGGGGTTACTTGCTGGCTCTGAGCACTACACATTAAAATCCGTTTACTTAAATTTGGTGAAGTCCTAAGGGGTTGAAAATAAAGAAAGTTTTTTGTCTGACTTCCTTGAGTGCCAGAATTGCACCGGAGGAGGTGACTGGTCAGTGAGGGTTTGTTTCTTGCCTCAGTGCCCAGAGAGCGCTCTGGTTCACGGGGTGCCTGCTGGGGCTCCACTCCCCTCCGGAGGGTTTTCTTCTGCTGGAAGAGCAGCTCAAACAAGTCCTCACCGGCTGGTCCTTGTCTCACGTGGTGATTGTGGATGTTGCGGAGCAGAGGCTTTGGGGATACGCCGTGACTGCGGAATGTGTGGCACCGTGAGGGGAGGCCAGGCTGGGTGTCTAATTAGTGTGGGGAACGAGGGCTGCAGCAGTGCAAGCCTGGCCGGGGGAGCGGGACCTGCTCAGCACCCAGGCTTGAGTGTATGTCCTCGGGGACTTCAGGGAGCCACTAAATCCCATCTTTGCTGTGTCTTTTTTGGCCAGTCTGTTGCAGAATGGTGCTTGTTCACCACACTGGGTCTTGCAAAGCCTTCAAATACAGTTGGTGAAGATTTTTGAGACCCTTAGGGGGAAAATGTCATATACTACCACTTGGTACTGCCTTCCTTTAAAACGCTTTGCTGCTTGTGCTTTGCTTTATCCCCTCCTTGTGGCTGGGGATCCCCCTTCTTGCCTCCCAGTTGCAGTTTCGTGCTTTGCCTGTTTCCGGTTGCCCATCGGGATGTGAGCACCTGGCTGTGACACTGCGGTTGTGTCAGCGGCCATGTCTGCATGTCCCAGGATGAGCTGAGGTTAGGCTGTGGACCACCTGTCATGACAGGAGTGCTGCAGGAGAGCTGGAGTCTGCACAGAAACAGTCCTGGTAACTGCAGGAACCCAATATTGACTTGTAACATCCCCCTCTTGTTTTTTGACAGGATTTCGCAACCTGCATGTGGATGACCAGATGTCAATAATCCAGTACTCTTGGATGGGCCTTATGGTTTTTGCTATGGGTTGGAGATCTTTCACCAACGTCAATTCCAGGATGCTTTACTTTGCTCCAGATTTGGTCTTCAATGAGTAAGTGTGAAATAACAGCCATCTTATATTGTGCTTTGTCTGGGTCGGACTAGGTGAGAAATAAGACAAGGAATTTGCTTTCCCGTCTGCTTATGAAAGGTACAGCTTGAGTGCTCTACATTCAGAGCTGGCCAGGAAAGCTTAGGAGGGCCCTGCTTTTCCCCTCTAAGGCTCTGCAGTGGTCTCCAGGAGCAATAAGGACAGTTGCAATGTCTCTCATGGTCCTTCTTCCCTTTCCCTCAGCCTTGCCTTGGGTTCGATTTCTGTCAAGGCAGCAGCAAGTGCTAGGGCTGGTGTGAAGGGCTGGTCCACACAGACCTGCCTTTTTCTGAGGGATTTGAGTTCCCATTTCCAGCGTGGTTGGTCAGGTGGAGCAAGCAGAAACAGAAACAAACATTCGTTGTAAGTTCCTGAGGGATTGTCTCTGATGTACCATCAGTCTGGGGTTGGGGAGGGTTTGTTGACACTAAGGTAGAAGACCTTAAGAGCAATAACTAAACACAGCAGCAAGCAAACCCACCTGTTCTCTCTGAGAGCTCCAAGCTCAGCTTCGTATCCCTCGCGGAGAGATGATTTGGTGAATCATTGCAGTTGGTTTTCAGGAAGGCAGAGAGTCAAACGAACCCTGCAGATCCATTTCCAGACTAAGAATTACACGCAAGCGTTTTGGAGAACGCTGCTCTCCTGCATGCAGGCCTGTTGCTGCCAGCATCCCCCGAGACAGCACTCAGGTTCTTGGCAGCGGGGACGTGCCAGGCGAGGCTGGGTTGCTGGATTGGGCAGCGTGTGTCCCCCCGTCCCGACACATACAGGCAAGGCTTGGTCTCCTTGCTGTGTGTGGCACATCTTGCCGTGGCAGATACCGGATGCACAAATCCAGGATGTACAGCCAGTGTGTCAGGATGCGGCACCTCTCGCAGGAGTTTGGGTGGCTTCAGATCACACCCCAGGAGTTCCTCTGTATGAAGGCTCTGCTCTTCTTCAGTATTAGTAAGTACTCACGTCCTTTCCTCAGCAGAGCTGCAGTTGCTGTACGCTGTATCACCCTAGAGGTGTATCTGGTGCTTTCCCTGGGCATGTGCATGTACTCAGCGCTTCCCAAGGGATGCCTGTGGGTGTTGTCCTCTGGTTCAACCTGAGCTGCTCAGAGGCAATGAGCTGCCAAGCGTAAGGGGCCCATCCCACCTCTGCACAGTGCAGTTTCTCCCATGCAGGAGGTTCCTCCTCAGCCTAACTTCTGTCATCATGGGACTTCCAGCATCAGCTGCTGGGCAGGAGAGTGGTGTTGCAGTTTGTTGTGTTGCCTCTCTTTTTTTTAACGAGAGCTGAACAAGGGCCCTTGGGTTAGCGGTAGTCCAACAAGCTGATCAGAGTGAGGGCCATAGCAGAAGCAGAGCTGGTGGGCAGATCTTTACTGGCCTGCACTGACCAGTTCTTCAGCCTGCCTCTTGCTCTTTTATTCTCTCCACTCTCTGGGCAGCTCTTACTGTTTCCTTCCCATGTTCCATCCAGTTCCAGTGGATGGCCTGAAAAACCAGAAGCTCTTTGATGAACTTCGCATGAATTACATTAAGGAACTTGACCGTATCATCGCTTGCAAGAGGAAGAACCCTACCTCCTGCTCTCGGCGATTTTACCAGCTCACCAAGGTCCTGGACTCAGTACATCCTGTAAGAGAGGACAGTGAAATGTCCATCTATACACATAAGAAATGATACAAGAAAGAAAATTTTTCCAGTGAGAACGGTCGTTCACTGTAACAACCTCCCCAGGAACAACCTCCCCAGGGTCATGGTAGTCTGAGTCACAGGAGGTTTTCAAGATGGGGTTGGACAGGGCGCTAGATAGTCTCACCCAAGCTCCCTTTCCCAGGGCAGGTTGGACCAGTGACCTCTCAAGGTCCTTTACAACCTGGGCTGTTTGATGAGTCTATGATTCTTTGTGGGTTTTTTTTTAACTCTCAGCACACCTTGAGGGGACAGAATTGCAGTGCACTTCCTGATTAAGCAGCAGAGAAAAGACAGATCCTAACTCTACTGAGGGAGTGAGAGTTATCTGTGTCTATCACTCCTTGCAATAACCACTCCTGTGCTCGGGTTTATGGGCTTCCTTTTTTAGCAATGAAAAGCTCTTTGTAGACGATACTTTTCCATTGTCAGCCTAGCAGGACAGCTCAAAATCACAGTGCCCCCAGTGAATCTTCTCTGATTACAGCAGTGACAACAAATTCTCTGTTTGTGACTTAAAGTTGTACTGGTCAAATGTGAGCTGGACCTTTCCTTTTTCCTGGGGCTCCACTCCATGACTGTAAAGCTCTATGGCTACAAGCCAAAAGTAATTCTTAGTAAGTGAAGTTGGCAGCATCTGCACAAAATAAGACAAGTTTCCATAGGAGTAAGAAAGTGCCGTTTTTATACATCCACAGTTTTGTGGGACTCAGTAATGTCTGAGTGTGAAGGACCATGGCAAAATACTCTATGTGCTCCTGGGCTAGATAGTTCCCTTGCTCATCCTCGGGATGTATACCTGCCATCCGATAACTGCTCTAGCAAGGTGAGGCAGCGATGGCCAGGGAGCAAAGCAGGTCCCCCTGCAGCAAGGTCCAGCCCTGACCCGCTGTGCCTGCTGACACCTATTCGGTATATTCCCAGCAGGCACTTCTTGTTTAACAAACTTTCTTCCTTTCCCAGATTGCCAAGGACCTACATCAGTTTACGTTTGACCTTTTGATTAAGGCACATATGGTGAGTGTGGACTACCCTGAAATGATGGCCGAGATCATCTCTGTGCAGGTTCCCAAGATCCTGTCTGGAAAAGTCAAGCCTATCTACTTCCACGCACAGTGATCTTCCGGAGTTACCTCCTAGTTTGCTGCCCCCATTTCAGCCAGCTCCTGTCTGTTATTTCTGCACTACTGCACTGCAGTGCCTTGGGGAATCCCCTCTACAGAGGCAGTGTGCCAAGAAGATGGACAGTAACAAGCAACTACCTGCTGGGATTCCTGAGATCTGTATTTTTCCTGAGGTACCTCTGAACTGAACTACCTGTCACGGCTTCTGCCTGGCTGTGGCTGCCTGGCCGTGGCACCGTGTCTACGCTCTCTCATTTGTGTCTTGTCCACAGTGACTTTTAGTGGCCCAGGGCCACGGGAGATCCGGAGAAATGCCAGCAGTTCTGGGGTTTGTTTGGTTTTTTAAAAACAGAACAAGACAAGAGGCAGGTTGAATCTCTGAGTTTGGGTGTGGGTTACTTCACTGGCCTCCTTCGGGACTTCTTATTTGTGGTACGGTGCTAGGAAGCAGATGAATTAAGCTATTGTGGTAGAGAAATGGAGTAGAGCTGGGGGGATGAGATGACTTGGCAGCCTGATGAATTTACAGGACCCACTGCTGGGTCCAGCCAAGGCTGTGGTGCAGCTGTTGTAGGGTCCGCTCCGGACAGCACGCCACCACCTGCGGCCCCACAGACCTGCCCACGCAGCCACGCCGACCAGCGTCCCTGGCAGCTGGCGGAGTGTTATGGGGTCGTCAGCAGATGGGCTGGAGAGGAGGGCGACCTTTGGAAATCCCCAAAGATGGAGGATGGCTACTGTTTCCCACCAGGGATGCTTTTCCTACAGCTGGTCAGGCTGGATCTCGGTCTGCCCTGCAGATGCCCGGGCACTCGGCAGTCGCATTCCCGTCCTCGGCAGCTGCTGCTCCTCCAACAGAGCCGTAACCACCTCCGCAAGTGCCTGACATCCTCAGACCTCTCCCCTGCTCCTGTGGCACCCCAAGCCCCTGCCCAGCCCCTCACCAGCTCCGCTCTTGCTGGGTGTCTGCAGACCCCAGGCTGTCAGCTACGCTACTCGCTTTCCGTTGGTCCCAGCTGTCTTTCTGATGCCGACAGACAAGTGTCCCAGCAGCAAAGCAGCAGAGCCAGGATCTGTGGGACTCCTGCGGTTAGTCTTGTCCTTTGGGAGGTGGCTCTGGTAACTGGCTGGTGCTGCCACGGCACAGCAGGGGCTTGGGAAGGAAACACCAAAGAGACCTTCTGCCCTTCCAAGCGGTGCCAACGGCTCCTGCTAATTGCAGTGGTTGATTGCAGCCCAGGAGGACACCGTCCCACATGCGCCGTCCCTTGCTTGCCGCCTGTCCCTGGCAGCTGGCTGCGGCGTGGTGGTGGCACAGCCCGTGCCCAGGCTGACAGGGCACAGGCTGCAGC